AACTACGTTATCAACACCTTTTATGTATCTGTTACGCATACAAAGTTTAGTTCCTGCGCAGTTACAAATAAATAAAAGATTACTCTCAAAAAGTATCTAATAGTCTAATACAGATCCAATTAAAGAGGGGAACTATACAGGGCAAATGTAAACACAAAATTGTGGAAGACGAAGACGGCTGCCCAAGTAAAGCTGGTCCAAGCTAACAGAATCCGCACAGGTTCCTCTGCCCAAAATACACAGACTTCAGTTAAGGCTTTTGTTCCATTCCCAGGTCAAAGCAACCACCTCCTAGCTTTGAGACCTTAAGCAGTTTATCTAACCTCACTAAGTCCTACTTCATCCATAGTGGGGATATTAGGATTCACTTCATACGGAAGTTAGAGCATACGAAGTGCCTGGCACAGGGCCTGACACTTAGGGCCAAATCAATGTTAACTATCACTATTATCATCGTCATCATCATCCTGGAGTTTTCAAGATATTTCTCAGATTTTATTCTGCCTTCAGGTATTACTAGAGCATCAAGTTTATAAAGAAAAACTATTCACATGCACATTTCAAGCCAACTCCGTATCTCACCTTTTAACTAATTCATGTATTCAGAGGGGAAAAAGTTACTCAAAGCTTCAAATCATTTTAGATGAAAACCTTTTCCCTCTCAACGGTGTTACATAAGCAGCATATGTAAGACATCTTTGAAGTTTTATGATATTTTTACTTTATATACAAAAGAACCCAAAACACTGACATTTGCTTCTTCAAAGTCCCGTGAATTTATTTTTCCAAGACTAGTGAAATATTTATGCCACTTTACTTCCACCACCAAAATCAATAAGCCATTTAAAAGAATTGGCCAAGGTCAGGCATCAGGCTTCCAACTGCAGAGAAGGGTTATCAAGCTTAAAATGAGAGAATTCTCATCCAAATCTCATTCAACATCCTTTGGCCCATCTTGACATAAGTCTCAGAATAAAGCCTCTTTTTAAAAAGTCTTTGTGAAAACAGGAGTTGTGGTCTATACTCTGACAAGCCTAGGGTCCACCCTAATGGAACTGTGAGGCTTTGGAGGATGGCTGGAAAAAACAAAAGCGCCGTATGTGTACAAATGAGAGGCTGGCTGGTTCAGTAAAAGGTAAGGAGGGTCCCATAAGGAATGAGCTGAAGACACTTTTTAGCAGAGTACCATGGTGGCATGTCTAACACTCAGAGGGGAGAGTTTCAATGACAGACCTGGAGTGGCCAAAAGTGGCCTTATAGAAAAAAAAACCAGGAAGGAGAGGTCAAAAGGTGACAGAAATGATTTTTTTAGGCAGAGTGTAGGCGACACTATATAGATTGCAGTAAACATATGCCAACCAGCAGCAAGACATTCAGAACCAAAGCTGAGACACAGTTCTGAGGATAATTATTTGTATTTCCTTTTTTGAATAAAATGGATTTGAAGGGAAAAAAAAAACTTGAGAGGAAACAGCAGTTATCACTAGATGATAGGCAGGGATGATTTTTACATCTTTAGTTTATTTATTATTTTGTCTTTTAGTACCTTAGTTTCTAGATTTTTCTATAGCAAAAATATTACTTCCATTTTTAATTACAAGATTTTTTAAAGGAAACGGATAAGGTCAGTCATCCAATTATAGACATGAGACAATGTACAATATTATCTGTAGATACAAAAAGCTCCCTCGTTAAACTCAAGATCTTCAAGGATGAGATCTTATTTCATCGTTCCTGTTGTTCCTGGGAACCCCAATGTCTAACACTGGGCCTAAAACATAAGCTGCATGTATTAAGAAGTGTTTAGGAAAAGAATTTTGGATCTGGTCACTAACCCAAACCCTGGTATAACCTCAGGAAGGTGAAAAAGGAAATGAAGTGGCAGGGCTCTCCTGCCAGCATCTGACCAGGACTTTGAAAGAATTCTCCTTTCAAAGTGGTCCCCCTATTGAGTACACACCAATCATTCCAATAGATACATTAGCCTACATTATAGCTTAATGTCCAGTTACTAAAATCTTCTGGTAAGTCTTCTGTCCTCCCTCCCCTCGGCCCCCTCCTTTCGGCACTGCCTATGGAACCGAGCCCCGCTGTTCTGCCTGGATCTTATGCTGCAGGAAGCCATAGGGACCACATTATGATGTCCCACTTGTGTTTCTTGTAGAGCTGTCCAGTCCACTGCAACAGTTTAAGAGAACCCATGGGAGAAGTTCATCTCAGAGCTCAGTACCATTAAAATAACTTCTCAAAGCAAGTAGTACATTTTAATTTTATGAACACTGAGAATCTTGTAATTGATCTTTTCTCCCTCTGCTTGAAGCAGAGAGCCAAATCTACAGGCCTCCTTTAGAAACTTTGCAGGACCTTATGATATGCATGTCTGTAAGCTAAGTTTCCCTCTGGTTTCCTCTTACTATTCTTCTCTCCCTCTCTATATGCTCCTGCTTCCTTCATCTTTTTTAAACTTGCACTTGGGATGAGGCAGGAATAAAAAAAAAAAAAAAAACAAGAAGCCAAAAATTAAATACACCTCATCCCACAATTCCCAGCTGGCTTCAGACACTTCCACCCATATCGCCTGCCTGCACGACAAGAAAGTTAAGCTCAGTACCACTCTCCTGGCTGCTGCCAACCAGGAGATGATCTTTATGGGTATTCGTGACAAGAAAGTCTGACTGAGAACCAGGGGTGCTTTCCTTTCCACTTACTGTTAATCAGCTCTAAAATACACATGACAACGTGTGTGAATGGTATTCTGTGATGTAAGGCACAATAACCTTATGGTTAAGAGTCCAGACTCTGGAGCCACACTACCTGGGTTTTAATCCTGCCCACTCCTCCCCACTCAGCGGCTGACCTTGGGCAAGAAATTTAGCTTTTCCATGCCTTGCCTTCATTTCCCCATCTGTGCAATGGGAACAATAAAGGTACTGAACTCACAGGCTTGTTGTGAGAGGTAAATGAGTTAATATACATAGAATGATTAGATCAGTGCCTGGCACACAGTAAATGTGGGCCAGTATTATAATAGGACAGTTCTGTTTTCAATTAAGGCAGCCACACAAAGGTTCAAGTCAGATTGAACGTAATATTTCTCATTGTAAATTAGTAAACTAACAGACCAATTTCTAGGGTGACTTTGAGTTTGCGTCTGATTTATAAATCAGTGTGGAGTCTGATCAGCAGTCATTTTCAACCATTTGCTTTCTTATTCCTGAAGAGAAGGAGAAAGTAGTAGTGTCAGACAACAACAATGGTTCCTAAGAGTGTATTTCCAAGTGGTACCAGTATGGTCCCTAAACTGCCCTGATGTAAACACACACATAGACATCACATCAAAGTTCCTCGAGCTGCAGCACAAATATCACAAAGCCTAGAGATGAAAAACCTCATGAACCGCTTCTGGGGGCCTTCTTTAAAATAAAGTACTCTGTTTAACTATCAGAGAACAACTCTGCTTTGTTGGGTACTTGAGGTCCTGATTTACATCTGCGTTTAGAACACTGCCACCTCCTACATACGCACTTAAAATGCAAATTCCTCATCAGACTCCACATCTAAAGAAGCAAAGAGCCCAATTCTAGCCATGCCTCATCTTCGCTCACGGTAGAGGCAAAGTCCCAACAACTTCCTTCACACCCAGCCCACCAAAATTGAAGTCCTCAGTGAATGACTATGCCATATATGTGAATATGTACATAATTTTCAAATAAAACGACTTGAAACTGCCACTGCATGATGGCAAAGAAAGAAAACTAATTATTAAAGTTGTAGTGCTTGATTAAAGTTTAGAAAAATCAAGAAAAAAATTAATCACTGAAACTCTACTCCTTCCTAATCAATGTTACTTTGAAATATGATGTAAACGTATAAATTTCAGCCTGTGTTATACTGAAGTTACACGAGATTGGAAGAAAAAAAGAGTGTATCAGAGCTATTCATCTTCTTTTTCCTACGTTTTCTGTAATTATCTACCAAATGAATGCACGAAAGAGTTTGTTACAGTATTTAATTGGAATATGCCAGTCCCTTTAAAATTCTCCTTTCTCCATATTTTCTCCAGAAAATATTCTAATATAAGAAGAAATGAACAAGGACTATCGACCAAGAAAGCTGCTTTGAGGAACTTAATCTCACTCTCTCCATTTTAACTTGCCGAATTCACTGGGGAGAACGGAGTCAGAGGACTGGTATTGCATGATAAAGTGACACTTCCGAGTAGTAATAGCTGGGATTACTCTGTCTCAGCCTAGATTCTTCTTGTCACGAGCTCGAGTACAGTTTTCTAAATGCTTTTCCCAGGCTCTCGAGGTTTATTTCTAAGGCTGCTCCTCTCAAAAGTCCCAAAGGAGACTCGCTCACCCACCCCACCCTACCAGCAGCACACTTCCCGTTCACTTTGGCCGGTCAAGAACTTAAACTTGACAGTGACACACAGTGAGAAAAAAAAAAGAGGAAGTGGCTAAAAAAATTTTCAAGACATTTATTTAATTTTTTAAAGGAAGATCAATGGCCCTGTCTTCCAGGAAATCTTCAATAGGACATAGCCATCCCACTGACTGGAAAGTTGCAGCGAATGACAATGCTGCAAAACCGAGGGTGACTCCCTTTTAAAGATAAAATTTTTAAAATCCTCGAAAATCATCTTGCTGTACCAAAAAAAAAAATCTTTACCCTGTAGCGAACGCAAACAAAGCTAACAACTCTCACCCTGGAGGTCGCATCTCGAAAGCCAG